TTATCCATCTCTTTGTCAAATTCCAGCTGAGTGCTGATCATTGTGTTTTCCAGGCGAGCGCTTTCAGGCAGCATGTGTAAATACATGACTTTTGTTTGAGTTTTCGTTTTGTTTTGCTGTGATTTTGTACATGGGGAGGTGAAGGAGTCTGTCACTGAATAATGAAAAGCCCTTATGCGATGCGATGCAATACACGACCAGGGGAGGGGGGCGGCTTTAAATGCTCACTCTAATGTGGGCAAGACAGAGGCTGTCATTTTCAATTATAGCCCTGAGTGCTAATAGCACCGTACATTTCTAAAGACCAGACTGATTTAAAGTGTGCTGTTTTGCTGTATGCCACTTGCTGTGAGATTCATTTCTAATTCCGCCAAACTGATATAATGTATATTAGACTGGACAGCTCAAAATGCATCTGAGACTGTTTTTCCCCTATCTTGAGACGTCAACAAGTATCTTATTTTGCAATCTGATGAGACTTTACTATTAGCAAGAATGTTTTAATGGCCGCTCATGCTGACATCGATTAAATCACAGGAAATTTCAGTTCCTATGTTGTTGGTTGCTAGTAGACTGTTCTACTTGACTGCTGTCCAATGATATCAGTGTGTGAATCACTGCTTGCTTTTCTATTTTTCATCGCTGCATATCTGTGCTGCTCACGGCATCTGAATCATGGTTCAAATGGTGCAAGGATGTTAATATGGACAACTCATCTGAAAATATTCCCAGTATAGCCCATACTGTCCATCATTTAATAAATTCTGTTCACCACCTGCTTTCTCTAGGCATTAATAATAAATTAAAAATACACTTACTTTCTATATATATATATATATATATATATATATATATATATATATATATATATATATATATATATAAAATTCTCTTTATTTAAATAGTCTTGATTCAAAAGGTTTGGGGAATGTTAAATAATTACTGGTAAAGTCTTAAGTTCTCCAAGGCTGCAAGAATACATAGAAGCCAGTCATATTATTTAAATGTTAATGGGTGGTATAATGATATTCATATTCTTAATTCATATGTCTAGAAATCTTATTTCCAGGTTGTAACTGTATTTTGGTTAGGTAATCAAGAGCAGAAAACCTTTTATGTGAGTTAAAAGTGAGTCCATGATTAGCACCTATCGCCCCTCAACAGTGCTACACAGGATTTGGTTGAGAATAAATGTATTTTACTATGCGTTCACACCAAAAGTGGCGAGAGTGTAAACGTGGTCGGAATTCATTAATTTCCAATGCGAGCCGGCAGTGATAAGCGGTGAGGATTTTCTGGTGTGGGTGTTGAGGAGAGTTGAAATCAAGTCAACTTTTTGGTAATGAGCTATGACATGGTTTGGCGGCAAGCAATCGGAATGTTGAAGTCAACTACTTGAAAGAATTGCAGAGAACACATATTTAATAATAATAATAATTATTAAAATAATAATAATTATAATTATAATAATTTACAATATTTTCTTACAGGGACATACATAAAACACATGCAATAAGTTGATCTTCCATTTGAACTTCCATCTTTTTTCATAATTTGATAAAAAGCACGCAACATTTTTACACAAGGAAGCATGTTTTTATGCAGGGATGTAACTGATTTGCTGATATGCTGCAATGGCCCCTAAAATACAAGATCAATGTAGCAAATTTTGATTCTCTCGATGGCGGAGCAGGAAAGGCAGACAGCTTTGTCGTCAGGGTGGCCAGAGCGAACTTTGACGCTCTTGCTGCCTTCAACAAGTTAGACAAGAGGGAATTTTGTTCAGCCATAGTTCATTTACACTTTTACGTGTAGGTTTTTAATTCGAAGTGCTTTTTGCTGGCATGTCTATTTATTAATATAACTGCAACCAAATATTATTTATAAGCAAATAATATTTAATTGGAAATACTGATAAGATTTGATCTTTGACAAGCGCTACGCTCTGCTTTCTCTTGCTCAGCAGCAGTCATTTCAAATCTGTGGGCAGATTTGAATTTAGCCGCTGAGCAATGATGTACTGAATGTTCTTATCACACCTTTGGGATTGTACGCTCTAGGGACCAGCCAAAACTGACCACACCGCTGTGACTGTTTGTGTCAAAGGGTTACGATAGCAAAGTTGTTACAGCAGTATCACAGGATGTTATTGGTCACTAAGCGAAAGCTGCTGTGGTTGCACACTGTTGACTCAGTAGATCTGCCCACAGCATGCCAGCAGGTGCTCATTTTTATTTTTCAGAGAACATCAGAAAGCTGCAATTTTGTCATATAAATTAAAAAAAAACTGGGGCAACACAGTGACTGTCATTAACATTGTCGCCTCACAGCAAGAAGGTCACTGGTTCGAGCCCCTGCTGGGTCAGTTAGCGTTACTCTATGGAGTTTGTATGTTCTTCTCGTGTTGGCAAGGGTTTCCTGCTCCAGTTTCTACCACAGTCCAAAGACATGTGCTATGGGTGAATTGGGTAAGCTAAATTTTCCTTAGTCTATGTATGTGAATGTGAGAGTGTATTGGGTGTTTCTCAGTACTGGGTTGCAGCTGGAAGGGCATCCGCTGTGTAAAACATATGCTGGATAAGTTGGCAGTTCATTTCAAGTTGGCGACTCCTAATTAATAAAGGGACTAAGCTGTAGGAAAATTATTAAATGAATGATTGAGTGAATGAATATAAAAAGCTAATGACTTTTTGGAGAAAGGACGGATGCACTACTACTTTATAGGCAAAGCATGATACATTCAATTTTTAACAACTGTTAAAGCAGTCTTTAATGCCACATAATCCTACAGAAATCATTTTAATACTCTGATTTAGTGCTTAAGAAATATTTCTTTTTTTCACCTTGCTTAATATTTTTTGGTATCTATGATTCTTTTTTTTTTTTGTTCAGAATTTTTGAGATTGAAATGCTTTGTAACGTAATAAACTCTTATGTTCACAAGTGACCTTGCAGTCCGTGCCGAATAAATGTATTCATTTCTTTAAATATAATTATTTCTAAACCTGAACTTTGAACAGTACAGTGCATGCTTACAGTGCATCCGGAAAGTGTTCATAATGTTTAATTTCTTCCACATTTTTATGTTACAGCCTTCTTCTAAAATGGACTCAATTAATTTATTTTCTTAAAATTCTACACACAATACCCCATAATGACAATGTGATAAATAATTTTTTGAAATTGTTGCAAATTTTTTAAAAAGAAAAAAAGAATAAATCACATGTACAGAAGTATGTCAAAGCACAAACCAAGCATAAAGACAAAGGAATTGTCTGTAGATATTCAGACAGAATTGTCTCAAGGCACAAGGCTGGGGAAGGTTACAGAAAAGTTTCTGCTGCTCTGAAAGTTCGAATAAGCAAGATGTTAAGAGCCACCAGTACTCTTCCTAGAGCTGGCCGGCCATCTAAGCTGAGTGAACAGGGGAGAAGGACAACCAACTGTGCACCAATCCACCAATCAGGCCTATGGTATTAGGCTAATCACCAGGCTAATACCATTCCTACAATAAAGCAGAGTGGTGGCAGCATCATGCTGTGGATATGTTTTTCTGCTGCAGGAACTGGAAGGTTAGTCAGGATAGAGAGAAAGATGAATGCAGCAATGTACAGGGACATCCTGAATGAAAACCTGCTTCTGAGTGCTCTTGACCTCATACGGAGGCGATGTTTTATCTTCCAGCAGGACAACGACCCAAAGCACACCACCAAAATATCAATGACTTCACAACAACCTGGTGAATATCCTTGAGTGACCCAGCCAGAGCCCAGATCTAAATCCTGTTGAACATCTATTGAGAGATCTGAAAATGGCTATACACCGTCGCTTCCCATCCAACCTGATAGAGCTTGAGAGGTACTACAAAGAGGAATGGGCAAAACTTCCCAAAGATAGATGTGCCAGGCTTATGCCAGGCTTATATTGAGGTACATCCAAAAAGTACTAAGCAAAGGCTGCGAATACTTCTGTACATGTGATTTTTCTTAATCAGCAAATAATGCACCTACAGTTATAATGGCATGCTGCTGGAAATCTTTAAACTGACCATGAAAACAGATGAATAACTTCAGGTCACTTTAAATGTCTGTCAGTGGGAATAACCATTTAATCAATGCCTTGTTATGATTCTAAAGTATTGGAGGATTAAATTTGTCACTTACAAATTGGATGCTAATATTGCATGATTAATATATTTATTTCCGTCCTCGTTGGCTGAGGTTTGTGTAATGTCATCCACATTCTTTGTGAGCAGCATGCCAGTCTGTGCCGTATTGGATTTCTGCTTGTGTTTTTCCTCCCCCAGTGTTGCTGATTTGTTTAAGTGTCCTAATGAAAGGGTGACACATTTGTTAACGCTGAGAGACACATTCTAACAAGGCCTGATTAGCAACCACAGAAGTTCCCCCCGCCTCTCTTATTTACATCTGCGCAAAACACAGGATGAGCCTCGCGCTTCTGAAGTTCACGGTCGTGCTGCGCTTGGCACCAGACCGCAACAAGCCTGCTGTAGTCTAGCCATGAAATGACCTATGGTTTGCTTCGTAATAAGCTCTAGATTATTTATAAAGTCCGGTGTTGGAGACCACAGTCATTGCATTACACATCAAATATTCATGTCTTTATATTCACATTACGGATGTATTATCTCATATATTCACGTTGCTACAAGATCCATTTAGCTTGCGCTGCACAAGTACGGCTCCATCCGTCTGTCAATTAATTCCAAGCCGTTGAGTCGCGTTGTACCATTGGCACCTCCTCTATTTCCCCCACCCCTGTTGAACCTCGGTGACAGCTATTGAGGCTCGCTGAACTCAGTAGTGCTGCATTGCCGTCGCGATGCTGGCCTGGATGTCAGCCTATTTCAACATAAACCGACTCTCTTGTCATTGCCGGTTAGATGATGCTGAAATAAACTCAAGCCCAGGCTCGCGAGTGCAGAAAGTTCCAGATAGTTCAAAGTGAATTAGGGTGACGTTGACATGTCTTTCTTACAGCACGGAGCAGCTGGTGGTTAAGATCCTGAAAGCCCTGGACCTCCCGGCGAAGGATGCCAATGGTTTCTCCGATCCCTATGTCAAGATCTACTTACTGCCTGATAGGAAGAAGAAATTTCAGACCAAGGTATCTTTTTTTTATGCTAGCGAGGCAGCAGTCAGCTCACGGCTTTTACAATAATCCACTGTTCAGATGGCAGACCCTCTTAGGACTCATTAAGATCTGGATGTGTTTCTCAGCCTGCCTGCCTGCCTGCAGATTTCTTTTTTCCCAGTGCCCTAGTTCATCTAAAAATACATTTATATCAGCCAGTGCATTCTGAATTAGCCTTATGCGTCCACAGTTTTGATGTTAACCAATCTCTTGTTCGCTCCCTTCACTCACTTTTCCCTCTAAGCTCCTTCACTTATCTAATTTCCTTCACTTTCTCTCATTTCCGCTCTGTCTTTCCGTGGCTCTTGTTCGCAGGTGCACAGAAAAACTCTCAACCCGGTCTTTAATGAGACGTTCCAGTTCGGCGTGCCCCTGGCTGAGCTGCACGCGCGCAAGCTCCACTTCTCCGTCTACGACTTTGACCGCTTTTCCAGACACGACCTCATAGGTCAAGTGGTAGTGGATAACCTGCTGGACTTCAGCGAGGGAACTGGGGAGAAGCCTATTTGGAGAGACATTGTGGAAGGAACGGCGGTAAGATAATGACCCAACATTCAAGGTTCATTACAGATAGTAATGCAAAGTAACGGATTACAAATACTCAAATCACTGTAATTGAGTAGTTTTTCTCAGGAATTGTAATTTATGTACTTTTTTTTTTGTAAAACGTGTACATTTACTTTCCCTTGAGTACATTTGTAGTGCTGTATTGGTACTTTTACTCCACTATTTTCCTTCCACCTGCAGTCACTACTATATTTTTTTCTTGTCTATGGTGATTGGCTGAGTAGAAAAATCAGTCTTGCGATTCTTGTCCAATCAAATCGCACATAAAAAGTAAAAACCCATAATACTGAACCACCTCAAGACATGGGCTCTATATAAATGCAGCAAACTGTTTGAAAGCATTAAAAGTGTCCAAGGAGATGGTCAAAATCTTTACACTCAATGACCCAGAGACCAGGGTGCTTTAATTATCTTCCTTACAATAACATACGTTTTTAAGGTTTTAAATTGGCCTTTAAAAAATATTTCGCATTTGGCTTTGTGTAAGTCTGAAATTTCAATCATTATGGTATTAAAATGGTCTTTAAAAGTCTTGAGTTTGACTTGATAAAACCTGTAGAAACTCTGGTATACTAGAAACTTCAGGGTGGTGTGTCGAAGGAAGTTGAAACTAAACCATGTAGGACACTGGCCCACCAGGACCACGTTTGGTAATCCCTGGCTTAGAAAGTCTAAAAATTGGAGAAGAGTCTTAAACAATAACTAAATGTACTACAGAATGTTACGTTTACACACACCAGCACAAACTGCATATAAAAGCATTAGCCTTTCATAGCATAATACTCTCTACTTACAACTCTTGAGTAGTTTTAAAAGGACCACTTTTTACTCATACTTTGAGTAATATTTACAAAAAATACTTTTATACTATTTGAGCTACATTTTGGGCAAGTAATGGTACTTTTACTTGAGTATGAACTTTCAGTACTCTTTCCACCACTAATTACAGATCGGGCTGGGCGATATGACAGAAATCATATATCACGATAAATGTCTCAAATTGTGATAACGATATATATCACGATATCGAACCATTTCTTTTTTCTTTTTTTTTTATTAGAATATGCAAAAATCATACAAATACAAGAAAACGTCAACAAATAACAAATACAAAGCAACGAAACAAAAACAAAACAAAAAAAACAACAATATAGTCATGTACTGGTATGTGCGTGAGTGTGTGCGTGTGAGTGTGTGTATGCATGTAAAGGTAACTTGGTGGACAGGTCAGAGTACCTACATAAGGAACAATAACAGTCAATAAATGAAGCAAGTGTCACAGATATAGATAAAACATATAGAAAGAAACCAGTCAGAGGAAGGGAGTAACAACAATGCTTATTAATGTATGATAGTAAAAATGAGAGTAAAAAGAAAGAAAGGACAACAGTAATAACTGACAACAATAATAATAAATCACAAGTGCTACACCAACTACTACTACAAAAAGTTACTTATATTACAACTACTACTGCTTCTACTACAGCCACAACCACTACTACTACTACTACAATGTCTACTAATACTGATACTACTACAACGACTACCTCTACTGATACTACTATAGCGTTTGCTACAACTAATACAACGTCTACTGCTACTACTACTACTACTGCTACTACCACCACCACAATCACTTCTACTACATCTACATCAACAACATCTACTACTGATATTACTACACCAACAACGACTACTACTACAACTGTAACTACCACACCATTACTACTTCTGCTACTACTTACATGAACTACTACTTCAAAAATCTCCGTAACAATTACTCAATAACAATCAATACTATTACACTGTCTACTACTTCAACTACAACTACTACTACTACTACTACTACAACTACTACCGCTACAACTACAACAACTGCAACCTTAATAATGATAATGGTATAAATACTTGTAATAATGATAATGGAAAGATAACAGGACAAGTCAGAACAGTAATAATACTAATAATGATTACAAAAAATAAAAGTAATACCATTTATGACAAAGGTATCGAACCATTTCTGTAAATTATATTTATTAATAGTATTATAAAATTATATTGACCACATGTAAATGTTTTTTTTTACAGTTGGAAGTGTATACTCAGGAATTTACTCCTGTATCTGATTTCTCATATTTCTCACTTTATTTAGACCTTCAGGGCAAATATTTGATAAAAAAAAATGCATATTTCTGTATGTACTCAACGCACATATTTATGTACATGAATATGAATAAAAATATAAAATATTTAAAAATATGAATGATTATAGAATCAATATAAAAATAACAAAGGTTGCTAAATAAAAAGCAGTGTAGACGTTGTACTTTGAAAATCTTTCTTAAGATGCTGTTGTTCATGTTTCTGTCTGCATCTCCATAATGAGGCGTAATATTGCGCTCATATACATTATGAAAAGGTATTACAGTAAACAATGTTTTTTGCGACACCATAAAATAAATGAAACGATTGACTTTTTATATTGTCCATACAATATATATTGGCATATTGTACTGCCCTAATTAGCACTTAATCAAAACAAGAAGATAATGAGTAGTTGAGGGTGTTGTGTATTGGACATGCTGTCTGTGTTTTTGTAGCACTTGATTTGCTGACAGATTTATGCAAATTAGGTAACGCCATAAACACACAGGTTCTAAGTGCTAGGATGCAGCACACTACAACTACAACTACCAGATGTTGGATTATCATGATCTGCCGTACTATGCTGAGACTGTAAAACAAGGCTATTGAGCCTCAGGCCTTGAGAGTCGCTGTCTTGGAGAGTTGAGTTACAACCCTAATCAAACACACCTGCGTGTCATTTTCAGCAAATCCTTCATGCCGAAATCGATCAAAACCTTTATGACTTTTTCTTAGGGAACACAAAAGAAGACGTTTTGAAGAATGATGGTAATCAAACCTTTGACAGAATTATTTGTGTTCCACAGGAAGTCACAAAGGTTGATTGAATAAATTATGACAGTGTTTTAATTTTCAGTGAAGGTTTTTTTAGTCATTTGTTTTGACAACATGCCAGGATTGAGCAAAGTAATGTACGTAAAACACACATGGCACATATTAACAATCTATGAATAATGAATAACATTTAGTGGACAGCGGCACTGTGGCTCAGTGGTTAGCGCTGTCGCCTCACAGCAAGAAGGTCATTGGTTTGAGTCCTGGCTGGGCCAGTTGGCATTTCTGTGTGGAGTTTGCCTGTTCTCCCCGTGTTTACATGGGTTTCCTCCGGGTGCTCCAGTTTCCCCCCCAGTCCAAAGATATATGCTATAGTGTATGAGAGTGTGTGTTTATCTGAGTGTATGGGTGTTTCACAGTACTAAGTTGTGGCTGGAAGGGAATCTGCTGCGTAAAAACATATGCCGGAATAGTTAGTGGTTTATTGCACTGTGGCAACCCCTGATAAATAAGGAACTAAGCCGAAGAAAAATGAATAATTGACTAAGTGAACATTAAATTAGCTGTAAATTCAGAAAGACTTAATGAACATGGATCAGTGACCTTATAAACTGAAAGAAAATGTGATTTTAATTCCTGATTTAGGTAAAAAAAAATGTTGGAAACACCTGTGCTGTGATATTCTGATAACAGAACATGCCGTTGATTGTGGCACTTAGCATGAATATGTAAAAATATTTCAAACAAGAGAGAGTTCATCAAACATTAATATTCTGTGATATTTTGTCACCATCCACTTATTTCAAACCTGTACACAATTGCTTTTTGCTGTTGTTGAGGAAAGAAGGAGAATGTTTTTTTAAAGAATGTCGATAATCAAACAGCTGTCTTAACAATCCTACCTTGAAGGCATTCATTGATTACCATCAACTGCCTGGTTCCCAACTTTTTTTCTTCAAAATGTCATGTTTTGTGTATGTAAGGCCCAATCCCAATTCTATTTTTGAAACCCTTGAAACAGAGTGTGAAGGCCTTCAAAATTTACCCCTAAGGAATGGGACAGCACTACAACACCTGCACACGTCTTTATATGTCATCACGATCTTGTACTTCATATGGGATTCACGATGGTGACTGCTGTAGTTGTTCCAGTTGCGTTATTTTTTGGTATTAATCTTCAGGAAATCACTGAAGGCAACGATATAATGTTATCATATTGATTTTACATGGCAATAAACTCATAATTGTACTGTGTATTCACACAGTGGCCATATTCATATATGTAAACAAACAAAAACAACATTAACATTAAATCAGACACTGTAAAAAGCTCATTTCCAGCCACTAGACTGTTCTGTCAGGGTATTTGAGTGCCATAGAGTGACAGAATGTTGCTACTATACAGGAGTTATTACTATACAGGAGTTATTATAATGGATATCGAAATTTAGCGGCTTTTATTTAAACTTTTTTTATTTTTAAACATGACGATAAAACACAAACACCATTATGAATGTATTAAAATATGCTAGTTTGTTGTAAAGATTCATAATAATGACAAAAAATGCTAATTTGTACATCTCCTTCCGTGTGCAGCCATGCTGCTGTTGTTGATGGTGTATCCTGGGAAATTTTTGTACCCCTTATTTTTGAGTGTGGTCCTGAAAACTTTCAGTTTCAAGGGCTATCTAGCCCTTTCCCTTAGCCCTAAACCTTCAAGCTAAAGAGAATTGGGACATCCCATCCCCTTGATATGAACACGCAAAACGAAGGGTTAGGGGGGAAGGGCTAAGAGGTAGAATTGAGATTGGGCCTAAATTGCAAGTTCGTTTTCATTTTAGTTGATCTATCCCTTTAGGAAATGCCCTTTAACAAATCAGACTACAGACCTACATAGACATCCTAGGAAGTTTTATTAGAAGCTCCTCACACATTGGCATTAAAAAGTGATTAATACATAATAATATAGCCATTTTAAAGGTCACAGTAAGTACATTTTAAGTTTGAAGCTGTGAGATACTGGTATTGCAAAGTTTTGTTCCAGCTAC